TTTGACTGCCACAAGTGAGTAATTATCTTAATGAACTGTCTGCAACGAGCCCCAGTGAAGCCCATCCCTTTTATGCGCTTTGATTTAAACCATTTACATCAGTGCCTGTCCCAGCTCAGGGGGGTTGGATCCTGAGGGGTTTAAGAGGTGTCACTCAAACCATCAGGAACCAAGGCAGCCTGAAACCAAGACACACAGTCCCTGTGGTGCAGGACACTGTGCAGTGACAGCCTCCTGGAGACATTCCACACATCCATCGCCCGGGATTCCCCCTGCTCCCGGCCCGGGCAGCACACGGGCTACGTCAGCTCCAGGAGATGCCAGGGAATGCTGCCAAGCTGCTGTCTCTGCCCTCTTCAAGGTCTATTTACACCCACTCCTGGCCATCAGAACACCCTCAGGCTGGGGGAGACTTTTCCATCACGGTGGACACTCTGGTTCGACCTGCCTGGCTCTGAGCACGGATGTTCCCGGTGCATTACACATCATTTCCCCCAGGCTTCCAGCAGCTCCCTCGCATTCCCAGATGCCATTTCCGAGTCTGATAGAAGCCAGCACTAGAAAAACGCTTCCAATCCTCCTCCCCAGGCTTTCCTGACACTGGATTCTCTGCCAGCTTTGGCGCTGTTTAGCTTCCAGCAGGGTTTGTAGAATCAGCTTTCCTGTTTTCCAGTTTAGAAATGCAGGATCGGTTTTCCATGTCAAGGGGTCTCTTACGAAAAGGGGTGGCCTGGATTGCTGGAGCAACATGTGCTGCTTCCATCAGCAGGGAACACTTCCCAGCAGGGCACAGGCTTATCAAATGTTAGACCAAAGGGCTGGGGATGGGGCATGGGAGCACTTCCAGCAGGAGAGCTCAAGGCAACACACAAAGAATAGTGGTGGTGCCACGTTGATGGTTGGACTTGGTGATCTCAGAGGTCTTTTCCAACCTTAATGATTCTAGACTTGTAAAATGAAAAAGCCCCTTTTCCACCGGAGCTTTTGCTCTGGGTAAGATGGGTGGAAAGCCAAGGTCGGTCAGGTGATTTGATGGACATCTCTGGAGTCCTGGAGCATCTCCACCTCCATGAGATCCTGCTGGTTTGGTCAAGACCTTCTTATTTATGTGTCCTGTCATTGCTGAGATCATCAGCTCAATCTACTCCCTCCATCAGAGAAAGATCATCAGCTCAATCTCTTCTCTCCATCAAAGAAATATCATGAGCTCAATCTCCTCTCTCCATCAGAGAATTGCTGCTCGTTTCTCCTCTGCAGTGGAAAACTAAAAACAACACCTGGAGCAGCATTCAACATATTTGTGTGAGCTGGTTCTGGGCCTGTATTTGAGACTCACCTCAGTAAATCAGTTTAGAGAAGCAAAAACAGTGCAACAGTGGCATGTGAAAAAGAACCTTTTATCAAGCTCAAACCCAGCATTGATAGTGCCACGCTCTGACTTATTGAGAGGTTTGGGACAGCTTGTGTTCAGTTTGTGTTGGCCAAGTCCCCCAACATTGCAGAAAACCAAAACCACTTCCCGTCTCGAGCTCAGCCCCTGACCTGGCTGGAAGCTCACAATAAATCTATACATTTTCTCCCGTTTCAGGGGGGTTTGGAGCCAGGCTTTCTCGGGAAACTGCTCTGAGCCCTGGAGAGAAAACACTGCACAGCAGGAGGATGGGCTGGCTTGGTCAGGGAACATCAGGTTCAGTAAAGAGAGCTCCTGGTACACGTTTTTAACATGATTTGGTTGGATCACACTGAAGAACTCCCTTCTGGTTTAGAAACCAAGGGAATTGGACCCAACAATACCTTGGGCAGACCCAGCTAATGGGGTGGGTCCTGGGCAGTGGAAGGAGCCTGGTGACCATGTCCAAACACACCACCTCAGCACCCACAGGCTCTGATGAGGAACCTTTAGGGCAGGACTGGGCTTCCAAAAACTCCCTGAATGACCAAGAGAAGCTGCACCCAGGAATCCCATCCCATGGCCTCCTCCAGCCCTGCCTTTGGGCACAGGAACAAAGTTGGGCTGGTGACAAATCAGAAGCAGTTTCAGCCTGGTCTTCAGGACTAGAGACCAAGAGGGCTTGTCTGGAAGGTTCTGGAGCCTACAGATTATTCATAATTAAAGATAATGTTTTATCTCTCCACATAATAAAGCAAGAGCCTGGGCTGGACCTTGGTGCAAAAAGCTGGGCTCTTCACACTCCTCTACAAGGTTTCCTGGTTGGATTTTGGGTTGATCTCTCACTCTTTGGTCACAGTTGCCACATTTAGGATGAGAAGAATTATTTTCTGCCTTGAAGAATTTGAGTGGCTGGTTTTGTGGGTGATTTTGGTTCTCTTTGTGTGCTTTTGTGGGTGATTTTAAGCATATTTAAAAGCACTGGAGCCATTAAGGTGTCACTGTGGTGCAGCCTTCCAGACTTCAGGGCTGGTTTTGAGCATCCTGGTTGTCAGAACACAGGAGATGAAGCCCAGAGAATCATAATTTCTTCTCAGTGATGATCAAACCAGCTCAAAAGTGAATAACCAACATCATTATCTCCATCCCCACATGCATAAACAAACAGCCAGTGAAAAGACCACGGGGCAGCACCACGTTTACTTATTTATTCTCTGCAAATATTCCCTTGAATCTTGTTGTTTTGTTTTGTTCCAGAGCAGCACAAAGACCCCAGGCTGTGATCCAAGCTGTGGATGATGCTGGAGTAGTTATTACTGAGCAAACTGCACTTCCCTGCTGAGTTGTTTTAAAAAAAGCAGGTGACAACCCCAAGCAGATGAGAGGTACCTGCAATTTGGTCTCTGCTCATCTGTCAGCAGCACTGACATCTGCAGAGACTGCTCTGTGAACTGTCAGTTGTGAACACGCCACAGATCGTTACCACATGTAGAAGAGGAAGGATCAAGGAAGATTTTTAGATAAAATTGCCAGATTTGCTGTTAAAAATACCAGTTTTTCCTTTGCAAGCAGCACACACACATGTGTGATAACATCACACCAAGGTCAAAGCACCATTTTTGCCAATTATTTCTTTTGGAAAGAAATAATTCTTTCCAAATAAATAAACTATTGCTTCCTTGCAGGGAATGCCAGGACACCAGGATTCAGAGATCAGACCCCACCAGGCAGAAAATATACAGCAAAGTGGTGAAGCCAGTAACATTTTTTATTTTTAATTGAAACTCATCTTCCAAGTCACACTAAAAGCAAAAAAAAATAAAATGCAACCACTTGGGTATAAAATGGCAACACTGTGACAATCCCAGAGTGCTGGATCCTCATCAAGAGCAGGCAGGATGAGAGCTGGGTCATCATTCATGGGAGATCTTCCTTCTCCTGCTGCTCCCTCTGCCACAGGGTCTGGCTGGCAAAGCTTCGGGGCTGGGCTGTGGCACAGAAAAGCTTCTCATCCATTTCCCCCTCCCATCCCAACTCCCAAAACATCCCAGTTGAGTGTGAGACAGAGGAGAAACAGCATCTTGCCGGCAGAAGGCAGGGCTGGGAGGGGTTCAGGCCAGTGTGCCTGCGCGTCACATCAGCCACATGGCAGGGCCAGGCTCGGGAATCTCTGCGGGGTCTGGAGCCAAGGCTGCCAAAACGAGCAATAAATGGGAGCCCAAACCGCCAGGGTGGGACAAGGCACCAAATCCCAGCACTCTGCAGGAGCACACGGCGGGCTGGAATGGGATCCTGGAGCTGCTCCAGAGCAAGGATTTCTCAGTGGGACTGACTGACAGCAGGGGGAGGAGGCACCAGCAGCAGCACAGATGTTGTTTTCCCCCCAGAGCAGGGCTTAGATTGTCAC